TGGGGTGTAAAATTGAAATGTCAAACTATCAAATGATGGCTGTCTACTCTGGCTTCTTGATGGGAATGCTGGGTAAATTCTCTTTCCTGGCTCCCAAACAGAACACAGCTGTACGGGTGCATCTGTGTGTGTGTTTATGTGTGCATGCATGCAGCAAATCCCAATTGGAAGGATGTAAACACACATTCAGCTGTTCCCCAAAATCCCCAAGATATCCCCCCATGGTTGCACTGAGCTTAACGCCAACCCATTTCTAACACATGCACATTTGCACACACACACACGCTCTTGAGAGTAATCATGTAAATGTAAGCACTTAGAATGAGGTTTGATACTGAATTATACAAATATGTATATAATTTATATATACATATATGATACGATACATTATACGATAAAACTGTATTGACTGTGACGCCGACATACTTGGTGTTTTGCCTTGGCACTGCTTTATAATAGTTGTGTAAGACAAGGAGGCACAGGACTATCCTCCACTGTCACATTCAGTAACAATAGAACTAAACACGTGCATGAATGTGTTTACTGTGTGCTAATGTAAGTGTGTATCTGAGTATAATTGCCTAACATCATACTGAGATTTCAGGGCAAAATCTGACAGTTAATTGTGACTAATTGTGTAACGAGCTAGCAGCCAAAGTTTATAACTGCAAGAGAAGAAAAGAAGCGAATGAGAGAGGATCATGTTTACACCACTGGAATGCTTATGACTGCACATTTGTAACTACAGTATATTATACAAAATAGATAGTTTCTGAATCCTTCAAATGCAATTCTGACACTGATGCCGAGCCACTTTGGTCCTGGTAAACGGTTCACACCAGAGGTTGGCTATTTTTAAACTTTATGTAAAGAGCGGAATTAAAGTGACAAGCTTTGACACAGCATGAGAAGTTTGAGCTACCACATTTTTTACATTTTATTCTCTGGTTGTGAGCAGACGGTGAATATACACTGCTGTAGTTAGGATAAGACATAGTTTTGTTGTATGAGATGATACTATCAAATAAAGCAGTTTAAAATAGTGAGAACACACTTGATTACTTGCATAATCATGAGTGGAGCAAAGGGTGCATACCTGTATAGTGGTGATGCCCAGATCCCGGCCCATTAAAATCCGTCCATCTATCAGTCTGGCAATGCGAGGATCTTCTACCTGTGGAACATAGAGACAGCTGCCAATTTCAATTATAAGTTTAGTTAATTCATTCGAGGTGAGTTTTTCCTCAAATGTCTAACTATTCCTTCTAGGAAAGCTGTGTGTATATGTTGGTATTTATGTACCTTTAGCTGGTCCAAGACCAAGTGAGTGATATCAGCTTGCCAGTCTGCACCCAACATGTAGACCATCTCTCCTCCTGGATCAGAGGGTTCTGCAACAAAATGGGTGAGGACCCGCACCAAGGCATACTGGTACTGAAAGATCAAGAAAAAGACCAAATAAGACTAATGCTTAACTCTGTTAGCTTGTAAGTTAACTAACACGATAGTTATAATAATTACATAGTCTCTTAAACCACCTTACATAGAATAAATCATATTTCATCCTCAGTATGTAGTTGGACAACTCTCAGTTTTTCAGGGATACAGACACTGAAGAAAAGGATTAAAGAACTCTTTTTAAAAATGTGATATGAAAACCAATCAAATAACACCTGTAGGGTACAGCCTTTGCCTTTCTTTTCATCATCCTCATCATCTTCACTGTCTCTGGTAGGTCTGGGGAGAGAAAAGGTAAATGAGAAAAAGAAATAAGAGAGAACAGAGGTGGAGATTATCTGGTAATTAAATGCTCTACACTTATCTTGAGTTAATCTGCATAATCTCTGCTCCTGGATACACTCTCAGTCAAAGAAAAGACACTTCAGGTTTTAATCCAGCTGTAACACTTTTATTACACTTTGGTTGTACAATGTACAAGTTGTGGAACGTCTGTAAAATTATTATTTCAGGCATAGCTGGCTTTGTGCTCCATTTTTTGGTAATATTATCTGCAGGAGAGTTTTCTTAAACAGTATACCTAAGTTATTAAAATGTATTTTAGGAGCTAATTTCCCTTGTACCTGTAAATGGAGCCCCGTTTCACCTCAGCGAGTATAGCACCTACAGTGTGACTTCTCACATAGTGTGTAAGGGACACATACAAAAAACAGTTACAGTTCATAATGAAAAACGTCACATGAAACTGCTCATGATTTTTATATTTAAAGCAATGATTACAAGGAAACACCCATGAAGAAAAAAGTTATATGTACCTATGAGATATAAAGAGAGATTATCAGCTGTTCTTGACATTTAAACTTTGTTAAAAATGATTCTACAGAATTTTTAATTTCTGCTTTTACATAACACTGAAGAAAATGGTCTGGAAAGTAAACATCCTGATGACTTTGTCTAATAAAAAATGCATAATGTACTTTAAAAATGTGATTTCTCGTGTCAACACAGCAACGTATGTAAAGGCTGTTACTGACTTATGGACTACAACTGTCACTAAGAAACTCTGACCTGGTTGCTGGCAGAGTTTAGAGACTCCATAGCTTTGAAGCATCATTTACAAAACTATATGCTAATGTTCTCCTTTTTTTTTCTCTCTTTTGTCTCTCTCTCTCTCTCTCCCACACACAGTGTCCGCAGGCCACGGAAATACAGCGGGTCCCTCAAGAGCCTTCCTCACGCCACAGACGAATTCAAGATGTCCTAGTCTTCAACTGACCCTCCTCAGATTGCATTGTGGCAGCAAATTTATTAACTCTTCTTCTTGTTGTGGTATAATTTTAATGTGTGTATAATTTTAATTTGATATGCTTCTCTATAGTGTCCTGATTATCACTGTAGACTCCTTGCTACATGAAGCACCATCATACTAGATTTTGTGTTTGTATCTGTGCAAAGGTTTTTTTTTTCTTCAGTTTTTCTTTTAACCACTAAATAAAAATGTACTTGACAAATTCACCTACATTTGATCTACAGATTTCCATGTTCTGGAACTGAGCTTTCATGAGTTTAATGCACTGCTTTCCTGCATGTATACTACTAGACATGTGCAGTGCTCCACCAGCTGCATATCACAACTTCTTCGCAAATTTTTTAAATACAAATGATACAAATATATAAAATAAAAAATGAATGAATGAATGAGATAATAATATGAAATGTATTCTTACTCAGTGTAGTTGCACAGCTTATGAAGCTGAATAATTATCCCTGAATAAAATGAATCGGAGAACACTTTGAATACATTATCAGTGTTAAAACAGAAAACCTCTCTCCCTTGCTCCCTAGTGGAGGATACATCTTTCTCTCATACACAGACACACACCAAAAAACACATTCATTCTGTTTCACCTCCCTTGGTTTATTATCTGCACAACACCACATGCAGGCAGGCCCACATTCACACAACACACAGACACACAGGACTGCAGCCGTGTCCTATAACTGTCCCGGATTGTGAAACCCAAGTATTATTAAAGGAATTCTCTTTCTATTTTCCAGTGTCCCAATAGTACATGTGTCTCTGTGAGAGAATGTGCGCCTAATAGTGCTCGCATTTCACTCTCTGAAATAGTGGTTAGGGAGATAGAAGTGTGTGTGTCTGTTTGTGTCTGTGTGTGCACAGGTTGGTGGCTAGCTGAGCAGAAATTGGTGAAATTGAAAAACAGGCCCAGCAGAACAGAAAGGAAGGGCGGCAGATGGGGAAATGAAGCAATATATACACACAGACACACAAATAATCATGCACACACACTCACTGATGCCCATATACCCATGAACACACAAATGCACAAACATGGAGGCAGAGAAGCATGCAGGCATGCATGCACATAGAAAACACACACCATCAGGAATGAGTTTTATAACTTGAGAAATAAAGGTTGCATACAAATTTAGCTGATTTTCAACTGAGTGTGAGAGTTAAAAGTTAATAAGGGTATGCTGTTATTAAAATCTGAGCCTCAAAACCATTTGTGACTCATACTTTGATTTCCAGAGTCTAGGTAGGTAAAATTTTACAGTGATGACTTAGGGCAAGGTTTAGGTGTTGGCAAGTTGTGGTTATGGTTAAGGTTATGGTTATGGAGAGTCTTCAGGAAATGAATGTAAATAAGTGTAATGTCCCCTGAAGTGATGGAAACACAACTGCATGTGTTTAAGTGACCAAACGCTTAATTCAATGACTATGATGCTAAAGCCAAAACAATTGTCATCAGTATAGCCAGGAAGGTCTCATATGAAATCATAGTCTGGCTGGGCTATGTGTGCTCAACTGCTTCATTCCACACACACACACACACACACACACACACACACACATAGACAGACAGATGCATTTCTTTGTCCCTTCTTTTCTCTTCTCTCTCAGGACACAGTATGTAAAGCGTTATCATAAAATAAAATCACATACAACTATTGTTACATTTCTTTTTTTCACATGTTGAAAATTCAGTTTTTTACTGAATAATCAGTACGCACTGACTACTCTTTGAAGAAGAACAAGTGTATGGACAAGACAAAAGCTTTAAACAAAGTTCGGAGTATTCACTATTTGTCTTTTCTGTTGTTTCTGCTCTTCCTGTACTACACCTTTGCAAAGTACAGCCAGTCAGCCCGAGAGCCTTGTCAAGTTTGTTTTTCAATTGTAACCAAAAAAGCTGATACTCATGCTTACACCTTACAGAATATGTTTCCCTCCCTTTGTCACTCAAGGTAATACAGGAAGATTACCTCTTGTTGGTGATGATCGGCACCCTCCAGCCTTTGACCTGGCTCAGCTCAGTATCTGACACGTCTATCTGCAGAGGGAGCTTGGGCACCCAGACAGTGAGCTGCAGCTGAGCAGAGAGGTGCAGGTAGGTGAAGTTGACTGCCAGAGACTGCCTACCACGCATTTCTTTACCATTCACCAAAACCTGGTCACAGTTAGGGGAAACCTAAATAGTGCAAAAGAGCAAAAGAGGAGAAAATGACAGATGAGCTTGAGTCTGGGACAATATGGATGCATTCAGTCTGATATTGTTAAATGACATCAAACATACCTGACGTCCACAGATACAGACACAGTCTCAGTTGTGCATTCCTTAAGCTCAGCCTGCAGTGAGTTTTCATCTGTACATTCACGCTCTTACAGCAAATAAGATATTCTGTCACTGACTGCTCACGTGTTTATTCATCATGTAATGTTCCCTATAAAGAAGATTAATAATAAACTCCTCTAGCTTCTTTTTTGCAGAATTGTTTGTGAAAAATGACAACACTGGTGTGTGTTAGACGCAGTCATCTAAACCATGGTCTATTTTATTAACAACAGTAAAATTTAGCTTACACATTGTTACATCAGGGTTAAAAATAATAATAATCAGCCACAGAGCCATTTTACTGCAGTACAAATAATTTTACAATTGAAACTTTGAGAATATTTTCCTGATAATACTTCTGTACTTTTAATGAAGTAGGGGTTTGAATCTAAGACTTGTACTTGTCTTTGAAAATATTTACATTTTTCTAATGGCTTTCAGTTCTTTTTACATCACTGTTTGTCTGAGACAGCAGTGGCCCTCTGATCTTCAGTTAGTTATAGTCTGATACATCATGCCTAGAATGTCACTGCACTTATAACCAACACTTTTCAGCTCAGTATATTTAAACTGTCAGAAATAAAACAGTTTTTAGATAGTTTCAGAAGTATTAATTCTCTGCAAAGTGTCTACATGCACATCATAACTGCCCAAACATGCTACATTAAAACAAACATAAATTTCAGATTTTTTTAAATTACAAAAACACAGACTAAAAAAAGTATTTTTTATCAACATGACTGAAGTCACTTAATGTCCTAAAAGCACCATTGCATGTTTTCTATTTCCATAATTATGCAAATGTAGATATCGCCTTGTTGAATAGTATTATTCAAATTAAACCGATACTGAAGTGCAACAAATGTATGTAGACAGTGGATTTTTATGGCTGTACTTCAGACAGTGGACAGCGTCCTTACAGACAATGTGACAGGCAGAACAATAGAAAAACTTGGATTTTAGTCATATTCATTTTTACCCTTCTCATGTGCCGCACTGTGTGACTGATTGAGTTGACGTTTCTTTGGACAAATTATCCCACGTGTTTCACCAAACAGCAGAGTCGTATAAGAAGGGAACTGATCATAACCCAATGTGGGCAAATTGTGATGGTTTTCTAAGTTACCGCAGCAGCTCTACATGTGTGTACAGTACTGCATATAGTAGTTTATATTACTGTATATCTTATTTTAGCATTCATATTCTATTCTGTGCCTGCCTTGTAACATTAATACAAACAGAGGTAGGGATGAACACTGTTCTTTCAAAAGAAATTCCCTCATGTAGTGTTGTGATGACGGTGGTGGAGACGGCGTCTAACACGTCACTCCAGAATCTCCCATAAGTGTTCGGTTAGGTTGAGAGCTGGTAACTGCAAAGACCATAGTACAGTACATCATTCAGATCATTTTCATACTCATCAAACCATTCAGTGACCATGTGTGCCCTATAGATGGGGGCATTTGCATTTTGGAAGAGACCATGCCTTTGTAAAGGCTTTTCCTGTCATTTTTCATCCATCTGTATGATAGTTTATAAACAGACACCAATCCATCCACCCCCCTCGTTAATTCTAATTCTTTTTTTTAATTTCCACTGCCAATCACTCATTCCTGGCATGTATATAACTTCTCCTCCCCCTCTTCTTTACACTCCACTCACCTTCCTTCTTCACTCTCAGTTTTATTCCTTGTTGTCTCTCACACCTTCTTTCATCTCTCCACGCTTCACTTATCCTGCTCACCTCATTCATCCTCCACAACCCTTCCTATTTCCTTCTATACTTTACTTTTAACATGAACCCCTGTTGTTTGACTTCTTCTTTCTGCCTCATGTTGTCTGTTTGACTGTCACTGCCTCTGTGTCTTTTCTTTCATTGTTTTTCTACCTTATTTCGCTTTCTTCTGCAAAGCTGTACATTTCCATACACTACTGTAAATTTAGCCTTTCCTTCCCCTGCCTCACATTTATTCCATTGCTGTTTTTAAATGAATGAATGTATTTTTGGCATTAATGTATATGGAGTAGAGTTCACCTGTGGTTTTTAATCACCAACCTCTTTCATATTTATCCAGTCAAACACATTCTATATTAAACAGGGAGCATCACTCATCTTGGATTTTGTTGAAAATCATTGAATTTGGACATACAAGATCTTGTTCACTTTCCAAAACCCTAAATTTTCCAAGACAAATTTTAGCTCATTGAGTTTTTTTTTCTTTTAGATTACAATTTATTAAAAACCCTAAATTTTCCAAGACAAATTTAAGCTCATTGAGGTTTTTTTTTGTTTTAGATTACAATTTATTCAACTCAACTGTTACCCTTTATGTGATGGTTTCAGTTCTCTAACATGCATAGTTTCAGTACAGTTCTAACTTTCCCTTCTCACATGCACATCAGACAGTTGTTTCCAGACCCAAATACTGTTCTCTGGATTTAGAAGAAATTAAAATAGAGCTAGTCGTAGAGTGAATATTGGACATTCATCAAATTAAAAACAATGGATTCTCATGTCACCCTGTGTGTGCTGGATGTGTACGGAGTGTTCTGGCAAAGTGAAGTTTGAACAAATTTGTGCAATTTGTCATGCACACAAATTTCACTTTTGGACTGTTGGTGCTTATTTGGCCTGAACAACCAACAGCTACATGGCTAGCAGATACTCCGCACGTGTCTTTGGGGGGTTGCCTGTGTGTGTATGTTCAGTCCATCTTCTCACGAATCCCAGAACACAGAAACTCCAAATTTTTGCCTTACACTGGAACATTTTCACCTTGTATGGATGAACTGTCACATCTAAAATGTGCTCTGTGTTCTGACTAAACACACACCACAGTATAATTTGGCCAAATGGGAACTTGCTAAGCCTGGCTTGTGTTTTTGTAGGTTCATTTTGGAGATGCTCTGCCTCCTAGTGGTCACACTTCACATTCATTATGTAAAATGACAAACTAGATTAAATGCTACTTTTATTTCTGCACTACATATGACTTTAGTAATAAAATTTTAATCATACACTCATTTGTGCAAACTGCTAACTTTGTGTCATTCTACATAAACACACTGCAACAGAATGTCCAGCTCAACATGAGAGATGGCTAACATTTTTGGCTGTGTTATATGTAAGGAGTAAAAGTTGTAGATGTTATTATGCTTTAGCTATTTAGCAAAACTGGATATTCAAATACTGCCTTCAATTTCTGCATCAGCTTCTGACTAAACACTGCTGGGCTTGGACCAGATCAGGCTCAGAATTTCCCATTTCCCAGATAAACACAAACAAGCACACACGGGACCTACACACACATTTTTCATGCTTCCTTATGAAACTCTTTGATCTCAAAAGAGGTTAACATTTTGTACATCAGAGCTAAACCTCTCCCTTTCCATCTTCTCTCCCCTTTTAATTTCTTTCAATTTTACTTTCTTATTTCTGCTCCCACTCCTCTAACATAAAAGGAAAGGTGCCCAACCCTTCTCCCGTCTTCTTCCTCTTTTCAATTTCTATTTTTCTTCTCCTTCTTTAACTTTCTTTACATCTGCCCCACCATCCACCAGCTCCCTCTCTTCACCCCCTCTTTTTCTTTTGTCACCACCTCACCCTCCATCCCTCATCCCGCAGTCTCTTCATCTTCCTCTCTCCCTGAAACCTGATTTACCACTTGTTAACATCAAAGGGAAGTTAGACTGTTGGTGCCTCAAACTATTCTCCAAATCATTTTTATATTCCAGGTATAAATCAGTGTGAAAACTGCACTTGGTGACTGTGGCAAGGTTCCGTTTCCAGCAAAGGCATAAGACAGCGGAAGTCAGGGGAATGCACAATGGTTCTGCTTGAACCACCACTGTAGTCATTGTTCAGGTCCATAATTGGTTTTGCTGAATTACCTCAGCTCTGTGACTGGATGGCCCAAAGGAACATTTTAGAAAAATCAAGTTTTAGTTCATTTTGTCAGCATTTTGTAAGTTTGAGGAAATAGCCATGAACTTTTCAGAAACACATGAGTTTGGAGTACATTAAATCCAGATTTAATTCTACCATGCAATGGGATAAACTGAATAGTAATAACATTTTGAAATGTATATGCAAAAGAATATGAAGAGGAAGAGGAAGAGGAGGAAGAATATGAATATGCAGCAACTTCCTTGAGTTTTGTTGTCACTTTGTGATTGTAAGGTAACCAGCAGAGGCTGCAGAAAATCCCTGCACCATTTCTACTCTTGAACATGTGAAGTGAGCCAGGCTAGACTGTGTCCAGTCTCTACACCAAAGGAATATTTTGACATTTTGCAAAATATGCTCATTCTTTTCCTGGCAGAGAGTTTGATGTTAACGTTGACAACGCTTCCATAGCTATGTACTAAATGTAATAAAATCTGACTATGAGCAGCTCTAAAGCGAAGTAATTAACATTTTATATTGTTTGTTCAATTTGTACAAAAACAAGTCTAACAATGACAAATGGCCGTTTAACTAAAGTAGGGTAACTGACTCCTGGCTTTATCTCCGTAGCAGAGACAAAAACTGGTAATGATTTTAACCCTCAGCAAGAAACTGAATAAATACATTTCTGAAAATGTCCAACTATTTCTTTAAAAGAAAGGCATTAGTGAGCAGTGATCTCCTCTCCCTTTCTGGAAGTTTGGCACAAATCTAAAAAGAAAACCAATACCACCATTCAGAATAATGTTTCTGAATAGATGGCCTCATGCATCAACACTGTGCTGTTTCTTTCACGCATTTTTATATACAGTAAAATGTTAATGGTTCCTGAAGAAAAACTGAGCTGAATAAAATAGAAACTTTAACATTAGACATTAGTTTGTCCCTGTGGAGTCTGAAACAACTTCTA